ATATATATATATATATATATATATATATATATATATATATATATATATATATATATATATATATATATATATATATATATATATTTTCAATATATATTCAACCCTAATCTAACAATCAAACACAGTTGATTTAACTAATGAAGGTGTTCATGACTACTAGACAATATTAAGCAGGCGTGAGTTGGAGGAGGTTGGAGCTAAACTATGTAGATCTGTGGCCCTCCAGGAGTTTTAAACCATGTTATATATAGTATGTGGTATATAGTAGTATTTACTACTGTATATAATAGTTATATATCTGATGTAGATTTGTTTTGTTAAATTGTTTTTCTTTTTCCATTTTCTAATTTTATTGAACAGGATGTAATGATTTGAAATGGAATAAAGCGTCTAGTGCTAAGCACCACAAACCGCATCCAGTTTATTGCTAATGTTTTCTGATGTACATAATGCGGTGTTGTTGTTTGGATGTAGGATGATCTCATTAGAGAATACTGACATTAAATAGATATTAAGAACATAAGAAAACGCTCGCTCTGATCTCATTTGCTGAGTTTTCAATGTCAATTTGAAAGTAAATAAATCAGGCTTTTAAAAGCCAACAAAGAAAATCCGCTTTCCTTTACTGAACAACACTTTTTTTTTTTATCAGCCAGGGAATTTGTGCATACATTCTCATTCGAAACCTGTAAATATCTTCCTACATTCAGACAAAAAAAAAAAGGTTTGACAGCAGGTCCATCATTATGATGCAACAGTGAAGGCATTCAGATGCATAAAGCTGTGAGACATTTCTCATTTTTATTTTCTGACTCAGAATCCTGACGTTCTGCATGATCAAAGGGACAATACAATAAAATGAAGATGTGGAAATTCAGAAATGCAGAGTTTGCCACTATTGTCAAATACAGATTGGCTGTTTTCTGTGACACTAAACCCATTAACCTCTGTGTTGACATTTTGTTTTCATACATGCAGAAATTCAGTGAATACTGAGACAAGCAGATCAAGAACATGTTCTGTATATGGCTTAACACAACTGTAACTGGCTCTATTACCACGGTTATTTTAGTTAATGGAAATTACAGCTAAAACTATTGGTCAAATACATGTTTGCTAACTGAAAAAGGCGACGCAGTGGTGCAGTAGGTAGTGCTGTTGCCTCACAGCAAGACGGTCGCTGGGTCGTTTCTGTGTGGAATTTGCATGTTCTCCCTGCGTTCGCGAGGGTTTTCTCCGGGTGCTCCGGTTTCACCCACAGCCCAAAGACATGAGGTACAGGTGAGATGGGTGGGCTAAATTGTCCATAGTGCATGAGTGTGTGTGTGAATGAGTTTGTGTGGATGTTTCCCAAAGATGGGTTGCGGCTGGAAGGGCATCCGCTGCATAAAAACGTGCTGGATAAGTTGGCGGTTCATTCCGCAGTGGCGGCCCTGAATTAATAAAGGGACTAAGCTGACAAGAAAATGAATGAATAAAGATAATGAATGAAAATAATTGCTTTCAGAAATAATGAGCAAAATCTGCGGATGTTTAATGTCCTAGTGGTTATACAGCTTATACAGCCTAAGGGGTCCTTCACACAGAACGTGCTTAACGTTGGGCATTTTAACATTGAAGTCTCTGAGGATTTACTCCTTATTGGAGCCATCCCCCAGTGGCCAGTTGATGAATTGCAGTTTCAGTCATTTCTGTAATTTCTTTACAATGGAGAGCATGAGGTTGCCGTTTGATTTGGACCAAATAAATTGTATTGCTTTCTGGTTCCAATGTCATAAGTTACCTTTTTTTATGTAAAAAAATAAACAAAGCAGCAAACAATCAGAAATAATTCAGCACTCATTTTTTGTTATATAACATTGAAGTCTATGGGGATTTTCTCCTTATTGGAGCCAGCCCCCAGTTTCCAGTTAATAAAATGCAATTTTAGTCACTTCAAAAAAAAAAAAAAATAATAATAATAATCACAATATATGTAAAGCTTAAACTAAACTAAACTAACAAGTGAAATAAAATAATTAGCAAACATAAATATTTTCTTATAAATATTATGTTTTGCTCAAACTTATTCAATGCAATAACTGCTCTATGTCTCTATGTCTATGTCGCACATCACTTTTTTTGTAGTGTAATGAAAAAGAAACAAATAAAAATACCATTTTGTAACTGGCTGTATACCAAAGATATTTTAGTAAACAAAAATAAAGGCTAAAACTACTGGTCAAAACATTTTTGCTAACTAAAATAAAAAAATCACAATAAATGAAAAAGCTAAAACTAAACAAAACTATCAACTGAAATAAAAAAAGATGCAAACATGAATGATTGCTTTTAGAAATAACAAGCACTCATTCTGTGGTGGAAAATCTGATCTTCGAATGTTTATAGAAGTAATTGTAGACAGCCTAGGGGCCGCATTTAAAGGTGGGCATTTTAACACGAAAGCCTACGAGTATTTACTCCTCATTGGAGCCAACCCCAAGTGGCCAGTTGATGAACTGAAGTTTCAGTCACTTATATTTGCTTTCTCGAAGGAGAGTGAGAGGCTGCCGCTTGGTTTGGAACAATTAATCTTTATTGCTTTCTGATTCCGATGTCACACATTACCACTATTTTTGTAGTGTAAAAAAAACAAACAAACAAACAAACAAACAAAAAACAATTGTATTAGTGGCTGCATATCGAGGACAAAAATTAGGGCTAAAACTATTGGTCAAAAACATTTTAGCTAACGTGAGAGGCTGCCGCTTGGTTTGGACCAATTAATCTTTATTGCTTTCTGATTCTGATGTCACACATTACCACTATTTTTGTAGTCTAAAAAACAAAACAAAAAAAAAAACAAACAAACAAAAAACAATTGTATTACTGGCTGCATATCGAGGACAAAAATTAGGGCTAAAACTATTGGTCAAAAACATTTTAGCTAACGGAAATAAAAAAAATAACAATCAAAATAAATTAAAAACTAAAACTGAACTAAACTATCCACTGAAGTAAAAAAAAAAAATACCAAACCTTAATAATTGTTTTCCGAAATAATAAGCACTCAATCTGAGGTAGTCCCATCTGCAGGTGTTTACAGGAGTACTTGTAGATGGCGCTTTTACCGAGTAAGGGGTGCGTTTAAAGTTGGGCATTTTAACATGGAAGTCTATGGGAATTTACTCCTTATTGGAGCCAGCCCCCAGTGGCCAGTTGATGAATTGCAGTTTCAGTCACCTCCGTAGTTGCTTCATGAGGTAGAGCATGAGGTTGCCTCTTGGTTTAGACCAATTAATCTTTACTGTTATGTATGTTTTACTTTAAACATACTTTGATTGATTGATTGATTGATTAATTGATTGATTGATTGATTGATTCAAACAATAAGAAATAAAGTACGTACCAGTATTGTGGACACCACCAATGATCTGTTGGACAAGGAGTCGGTCACATTGGCCGTCTTTCCCTTTTGGTTTTCAGTCATGTTCAAACCACTTGCAGGATCCCACGTACCAATCTGCCAAAAACACATCTGATTAACATAAGAGGATGAAAACCTCAATACTACAGTAAAATAACTTTCAACATCCAAGTCGGGCTTCTTCTCTCATCGGCATGTTATCTATTCAGAAGCAGAAGTGATGTGAGGATCATGTTATCGTGCACAAGAGAGCAAAGCGGAGCGATAAAAAAACAGAGAGCAAATGAGAATCGCTTCTGCAGACCAGAGTCCCGCAATCCCCATCTCTCCCTCCTCAAGACCGTCTCATTTACTTCAGAGGACCCTCTTGAGGACTGACAGCTCAAAACAAGATGACAAAGTGCAGACATTCATGCACGTTCAACTATCAGAAAACAAAGTACTTCAGAAAACACGGCGGCCTGTAGTTTGTAATTGCAAATCACCTGTTTAATTCAGTCTTCATAAGGCTAAAGGGCTACTGAGGGCCTTATTATTAATGGGATAAATTATTCATGAAGATGCAGACACATGTGGAAGAGAACCGGGAGGTCACGATTTGCTTAGAGGCTCTCCGTAATGCATGCATATGTGTGTGTGTGTAAGTGTGTGTAGGATTCTATTGCCTGTTAGTGAGTGTGTATTTTCAGGTGTACACACATTTGTCCTTATGAAGGACAGCGGGTACATAAGTAAGGATGTGTGAAAGCAGAGGAATTCAGCACCTTCTCTAGCCCCTCTTCCTTCAGGCTGATCACATCCAGATCGAAATCTGTCCTCAGGCCGTTGGTCCTGTTGAAATTTATCCGTCCGGTCAAGCCGTCCCAGTGGGCCTGCAAGTGTAAGAAAAAGGCTTGTTATAAACAGCTCGCTACGAGCAGTGAAAAGGGTCTCCTTTAAATGCATTTCAATCTGATCTTTAGGCTTTAGATGCAGTAATGTATTCACACTCGATAATATGTCCATCTAATACACAGTAGACACTTCCTAACTCGCATGTTAATTTAGCATGTTATTAGCACGGTTTTCATCGAGCTTCTAGGATGTTTTGAAATGTCGTGAACACAAATAACCTCTTCCTAGCTGAATCAAAAGCATCGGTAACACTTTAGAATAACTATCCGTTATAACTAGTTAGAAAATCATTAATAAACTGTTGGTTAATGGGTTATAAATGACTTGTTAAATAAAAGTAAATAGTTTGTTGATTATTTATAACTGTGCCTTATAGATAGCCAATAGATAACCTAAAAGCTGTTAGTTAACAAGTTATAAACGACTTGTTAACTGCATTTTAATGATTTAAATATATACCTAATAAAACAGTAATAGATCATGAACAAACTGTTAGTAACTTATTAAAGACTTGTTACGTATCAGTTAATAGTTTATATTTGTTATTGGGATGTTTTCCTAAAGTTGCAGCTATTCTTCATTTATTAACTGTTAGTAAATGAGGAATAGTTGCAACTAGAATAACGTCCCAATAACATACATAAGCTAATAACAAACACTCAACTAATATATTAACTCACACTTTACAGATTTTCCTATAAAAATATTATATGTAATACCGTGAAAAAATCCTCTAATAAACATCATTTGGGAAATATTTCTAAATATAAAAACTAAATTCACCAACCCAGGCTCATTGTGGAAACGTAGCCCCGCGGACGTTTCTGGAGACCGTGAAATATGTCCCGGGAGGTACGTGTTTGTGCAGTTTTTGCGAATTCGCGAGAGGCCGCTGTGCCCGTTTTATTCGCATCTCGAACGCCTCTCGGGAGCGCGCGCTGTTCTCGCCTGCGTTGTTCTGCACCCAAAGGCCACTGTCGAGCGACCGTCTGTCCAACTGACTGAATGACTGAATGATCAAATGGGCGGCCGGCCAATCGGCTGACCCAGCCACCCTCCTCCTCCTCCTTCCCTGAACCCAAGCGGCGATTTACAAAAGTCATCCAGAAAAAAAAAAGCAAAAGCCCTCGTTCGATTTTGATCGAGTTTTCGGATTTCACTGCATTCTCGCCCTGTCATGAACTCGTTCGCTTTTTTTTTTTTTTGGGTTCTGTTTTTCATCTTACCTGATTTCTGGAACCGCTCTTCCCCGGACTCGAACCCAGTCGTCGCCGCAACCGGCTCCTCCTCCGGGGCTCCGCTCTGCTGACGTAGCACTACGAGCTAAGTGGACAAACTGGTTGCGGCGGGAAAGCCCTCCACACGGAGGTGAGCCGTCAGCCGGCGAGCGCGAAGAAGAGGAGCGGCGTCACACCACCCTGTAGCGTTCGCTCGATAAAACGTAATGCGGCCATATGCACCTCCAGCCACGTAAATTAAGGTCTCCAGAAACATCTGCAGGGCTACGTTTTCAGAATGAGCTTCGGTTGAAATTCACAAGAGAGCGAATAATTTTGACTTCAACTGATAATCATTTTGAATAATCGTGATTACAATTATGACCAAAATAATCGTGATTATGATTTTTCCATAATCGAGCAGCCCTGTAATGTAGTATGACCCCTAAACGATGTTACAAAAATGTAAATGGTCCTTGATAAAAAAAAGGGTCACCACCCCTGCTGTAGATAGATATTTGTGTGTGACCGTGTGTGACCGTGCGAGTGTGTATGTGTGTGTGTGTGTGTGTGTGTGTGTGTGTGTGTGTGTGTGATACCAACATAGCCCTGCAGTATGGATCAGTGTGACTGTATGTGATTCACCACTGCATTGCATCAAAAACTTGTGGGACCCCATAGGACCTCCACAGTAAACTATGCGTCTGTTTTTAGGTCAGCAGCAGGTATTCATCCAGATTAGTGCTTTGGCATTTTCAAAGAGAGCGAAATGTCGTCCGACGAAGCTGCCTTCCAATTATCTGTTCCGATAAAAAAGCTCCAATCTATCCTCAGCCCCGGGCGCTACTTGTAGTCTAGACAAAGAGGATCCCGAGGAGGGCAAGGGAGGTCCAGCGCAGGGTCATCCCAAACAGAGGCTTCAGTCAATTCATGCACTGGCTTACAAAGAGCAGAGCACCTTTCTTTT